TTCCTGCACCTGATATCACATTTGGCACATATGTGTAAAAACTCAGCTGTTAAAAGACAACATAATGTGAGAGTAATCCTTCTCACTGGACCTCCACATCTCTGGTGCGATGGCGGTAGATCCAACAGTGAGAACATTTAATATTTATATTTATATATATATATATATATACTGTATATATATATATATATATTATAATTGAACAATTTATCGTCAAATTGCCTGTGCACTTTTTATTGTCCTCACTGTTGCATCAGCCATGGCATGACCAATCAAATTTGTTTATGTCAATTCTTAGTCAGACACCCCTAAAATGCAATATCATTCATGATTTGGCCATCAGTGGAATGTATGTCAAATCAAATCAAATCAAGTTTTATTTATATAGCACATTTATAAACGATTTTTGGTCGAGCCAAAGTGCTGTACATATAATAAAAATAGCCTACAGTAGAGACACTTTACAGCAAATACAACAGCACAGATTGTTCAGAATATCAGTATGAGAAAAACGACACCCTCTATCCTTAGACCCTATGGCCAATATTCACTCTTTTAAATGCAGCTCTGTTGTTGGAAAAACATTTAATGAACTATATTGATGATAGCTGCTTTAATGAGAATAGACCCAACGTAACATTAAGATGATTTATGATTTGGAATACTTTAGCAATGTAATACCTTTTTTCCTTGTATGGTGGAGCCTCAAACAGGTTAAGGCGGTTGAAACTTATTTCTGAGAAAAGATAAGTGTTCAAGGGTGAGAGCAAAGGGGGGGGGGGGGCTTCCTTCACTCTTTTCAGACAGGCCATTCCACCTACTGTAATCATTTAAACTGAAAACAACATCCTCTTGTAGGCTGCTGAAGACATGTTGAAAGAAGTTTGGGTGCAGAAGTTCAAACAGAAATGCAACTAGTCAGTCCACATTGTCAGTGTCACACTGGTTTACAATGGAGCAGAGACGATTAGCTTTGTGAGAGAGTTGTTAAATTGATGACTCTCTGAAGTTCTACACAAGCACCCAAATCTCTGATGCTTTCTGCTGTGTTATTGCAAAATGTGTCTGCTCTTCAGAGACCCAGACTGCAGGAATAGGAAATTACTTAAATTAGTTTAACTTTTCACAGAGATCTCCAACATGAATAAACTAAGCTGTCTGGCTCATGCCTATTAATATTTGAAATAGTCTGCTTTGAAAATGCTTATTTCGCTAAGTTTCTAATGGCAGTCTCATAATTATCACAGTGAAGAGAATGATGTATTCAAACAATTCATTTTATATGTTAAGTTAGTTTGAGAGGGATGTTTTTCAATTGATGTTTGCCATTGTGTGTGTTTTATATGTTGCTTAAAAAAGCCTATTACGCTTTGTTTACGTTTTTTGTTTTGTATTAGCGCATACCTCCAACTTACCATCATCACATTTTAATCAGTATCTTGGCACAGCATAGGGATAAACACAGATAGTGTCATTTGTAGGAAAAAGCTTCATATTTAGTCCCAGCAGTATGCCGGTCGTGTTTTTTTATTATATATCAGGTTGATAAAGTCTGGTCTATAACTTACCTGCATAAACCAAACATACAATAGTCTAAAAATGCCCTGTACACACACATGCAGTATTTGCATAAAATAAATAATGTCTGTCTGGGAACAAATTGTGACTTCCACAGATTTGAAAATTAGTTTAACTCATGCATTTGTTGATAAATTGCTGTCACAGGGGGGCGCCGTCATCTTACTTTTGTTTAATAAATCAAAGCTTTGAATGACATTAAGGATAAGAATATACATATCAAGAGAATCCAAATACATAATTTGCTTTAATCATTTATAAGTAAAAATACCAAATGAGTATGAGGAGGCAGACTTCATTACAAGACTAACCGAAATATGAAGCTAAAGCATAAGTTCAGTCAGGAAGACTAAACATTGATTCGCTCCTCAACTGCATATAATCAGCTCCTTATGGGCATCCACTCTCAACCAATTAAATTTTACCACAATCTCCTGTCCAGCAAATCATCATGCTCCAGTCAAACTTTTTAATTGTTCTCCTTGTCAGGTTTTGGTGGTCAAGCAGCTTGAACCAAAAGTGAGCTTTAATCCTCAAAAAGCCGATAAAACAGAAAATAAGGAAAACCTGAACATGGGAATAGGAACAAAACCAGGAACAGGGGCTGCGTCTCACTTCGGTTATTTTTTCATTTCCTCGCTCCTCTGGGTGTTTCTCAATGTTGAGTAAAGCTGCTGCAGAGCCACTATTTCAAGTATACTACGTCATCGAGTGACGCAGAAGGACTGTTTAAATACCCAGCATACATGTGCTACCAGCAAGCCTCCTCGACATTGAGAAACGGCCCCGGGTTGCGGTCGAATAGTCTATTTAGCTTAGGAACCTTCCTAACGGATGGGAAAACGATGACGACCCAACAAAGAGCACAAGGAAAGACTAAGGTCAAACGAACCTTAGTCGTTTTCAAAAAAGTCTTCCGTCCACACGAAAACACTCGAAAACGCTGGAGACGCTATAGTACATATGCCGGGCCTGTAAGTGGCCACAAAATACACCAATAGCAGCGAATAAAACCGATGACGATTATTATTATTATTATATTATTATTGTTGCTGATGGTTGTGGTAGAGGAGCTGTAGATTTTGCACTAACATCTGTATCATGGTCAGTAGCGTCTGGAGCACGAACGCAACCCTTAGCAGACTCGTGCGGACTCAGAGCCGTAACCGTATAACAGCAGATCCAGAGATCCAGCAGACTCGTCATGCACGAATCAACAGCAGACTCAGATTCGCCGAATCACAAAATAACCTTTTTTTTTTGTGATCAAAATTTTTTATTAAAGCAAAAGGCACTGTGTAGCGGAGGTTAATATAACGTCAGTTTAATACGCTCGTGAAATGCAACGGTTTCACCGGTAGGATTTCTACTGTCTTGGTGATGCTGACTCATATGACTCAAAGGACTCGTATGATCCGGATCTCTTCAATGACTGACTCAGAAGACTCCGAGTCCGTAAAAGGATCCGGATTTGCCACCTCTAATCAGCGTACACACGGAGCCGCAAGCATTTCGTCCTCAGACCTACCCACTTTGGGAGCCGTTATCAAAGTGTATCGGATTCGGGTTCCGAATCCGCGTTTCCGTTTCGGCCTCGTATGATCCGTCACGGGCAGAGCGTTCACTTCTCTAGAAGTTGTATGTGCGTCCCGTGATGCTCAACAAATTCGTATGGTGTAGTCACTAAGGCATCGCTTTCATCGACTTCAAGCCTAGTTCTGTACGCCGCACGCCGGCTTATGGTCTGTTGGCGCGACGGCCGAGGAGGGAGCTAGTGGCGCGCGGCTCGTTTTTGTCTCTGTGTTTTGGGCGCCTGGCCGAGGTGTAAGAACAAACCTTGTCAGGGAGTTATACGCCTGGGAGGCGCACCTTGAGGCGATTGCCTCCCCATCCCACATCCCCATCCCACATCCCCCGCCCACGCCTTTACCCGGCTAACACAAGAGGACGACGGGCACAAAGGTGCGGTTGGCAGGGTCCACACAGGCAAGCAGAACACTAATGGGAAACACGATAAATCCGGGGCAGTGTGTCTCTTCGCTATAGTCAGA